GTCTCTTAACCTCATCCAATTTGACAAAGAAACAATGCAGTATCTCCACAGTACAAATTTTGTGTTTTACATTTCATCATGCAGTATACTGTGGGTGTTGTACAAACATGTTATTATATAGATGCACAGTCAGATGTATAAGGTACTGTTATAATTATCAAAATGCAATTTTACTTTGGCTCTACAGTAAACTTTTAAATATGATCCTAAATTATGTAAATTGAAGCTCTACTTTGTGGCTATCTTGTTTTGAAATCACATTTTTTGGTGGCCTTGATACCTCAAAGTGTCTTTAACGTCATCTTCTGACAAACCTTTCCTCATCAGATAAATTGGTCATTGGGTTTAACGCTTCCGATAATCCATGTTTACGTTTTTCTGACAGGCAACCTCTAGTGGCTGTATGAGTAATGACTGTAATATATTAGTGCCTAAAACAGAAATAGTGTGACAGTTGGTGCCTCTCAAACTCAAAGATGCTTCCTTGGTAGAGGCAAGACTCCTTCCTCGCATTCGGTGAACATACATTGGAACAGGGTAGCAAGTGCCAAGGTGTGCATCATTGAAGAGGCTCCACCTTCAATTCTGGCAAATTGTGTGCAAAAAATTGTTGGTACTTCATGCCTGCTAAGGATACACACATGCATCCTTGGACTTAGTCTTCAGTAGAATTCGAAGGATCCTTGACATGGGAGCAGTCCTGTGGTGGTATTTAATGATGTAGCCTCTTTGAAATTCAGCCTTTTCCCTTGATTTTGAGAAGCACCAAATGCAACAAAACATCGGTTTACATATGTAGTTGTGGGTGTGTTTAGCATTAATCATGTATATTTACATACTTAACTCTGATTGGACAGATATTTTCTTCTGTTGCTTCTCTAATGGCTCCAACACATTCTCACCCCCAACTCCCAACTGACGCTTTGTCAGTGGTACTTGGGGTCAAACTATGACACTCTACACACTGTCCTGTATCAGTTTTGGACATTCAGGGGTGTTGGTCAGTTTGTACTCATTACATGCATTGTGTCTTTTCAAAATAAACTTCCATTTTTACAGGAAATATACCTTTTCTATTTGTTAAATGCATACAGTCTCTTTCCAAAATAAACTTAAAACACAGGTAAAAAACTTTGTTTTTAGGTTTACTTCTTTTATTTAGGCAGCAAAAGTCCATTGTTAGGTTGTGGAGAGTCAAAAAATGCCACTGCCCAGAGCATCTCATACCACCATTAAAGGGTGCCTCTGTGCCTGGCACAGAGGGCCACTGACCAGGCGTTGGTATTTGACGAGTTGAGAGTGAGACTGGGTTAAATGACTCACAATGGAATAGTTGATTTCCCAAACTGTTGTTTCCTGGAGCTCATAAATTTTTGGGGCCCTATTTAAGGACCTATAGTGCATGGTCTAAGGTGCATGGCGCAAATGCATTTAGGGCGTGTCCAACTCCACTTTGCTAGTTTAAGGGTCCATAATCTGGGTGTAAAGTAAAGTGCAGGGGGCAAAGGAGTCGTCCCCTTATTTAATCATAGGTGTGCTTTGGATGTAACATAAATTTAACCAATCAGAGTGTTGTGGTTAGCATAGTCGCCTTACAGCAAGAGGGTTCCTGGTTTGAACCCGGGATGGGATAGCTTTTCTGAGCAGAGGTTGCATGTTTTCCCTCTGTCAGCGTAACTTTTCTCGAGGTTCTCCAGCTTTTTCCCACAGTCCAAAGATGTGCAAGTTAATTGGTGACTTGAAATTGTCCATAGGTGTGAATGTGGTTTGTCTCCATGTGTCAGCCCTGTGATAGTCTGGCGACCTGTTCAGGGTGCACCCCGCCTCTCACCCAATCTCAGCTGGGATAGACTCCAGTGCCCCTGCAGCCCCTAACAGGATAAGCGGTTACAGAAAATTAATAAATGAATGGATAAATATTAGGGATGCACTGAAATGAAAATTTGTTTCCGAAGCCGAAGCCAAATAATATTAAATGCCTGGCCGAATACCGAATACCGAATATCGTTGTTTAGTTTTTCATTAGTTTTTGCAGATGAACCCCCTCCAGATTAGTGTTGTCACAGTACCAAAATTAGATCCCACTGTACGATACCAGTGAAAGTATCATGGTTCTGAGTAGTATCAGGATACCACAGCGAAAATAAGGCAGATGTGCCTTTTGTCATTTATAAAAAGATAAATCACTTTTCTATTATAGGCTACATCAATGATATTTCAATGGAATAAATTACTTGTTGACTTAGCCTATTCATACTTCAAAAACAGCATCAATGAGTGATGAACATAGGGGGGATCAAAATAAAATAAATAAAATAAAATAATAACCAACCAGCCACCCTCCTCCCCTGACAAGTAAAGAACAGTCCCTAAAGTGCGGTGAGGTTTGTGGGCCGTGAACAGCTCGTTTCTCCTCTGACACATCACGTACGGTCTGTGTTCGGCTGGCTCGGCTGTTCAGGTACTTCTGGGCAGTCCACACGCCAAGAAGAGGATATTATTGGAGCCGACTTCTCCGTCGCCCGATAAGCCAATGGCCGCCGTAATTGACAGGAATGCATTACTGTCTGTGACCCCCATTCAACCCACAATCGGTGGGATTCGCCTTTCATTTCTGCTGCTGGTTGAAATCTGTAGGCTGCTCGCACAGCGTGCTGAATGATTTAAGCCTCTTTTGCTCGCTCAAAACTATTTTTAGTCGCAAATGCGAGTGTGGTGACGGGCGGATCGCCACACTGCCGACATTTTACTCAGCCGGTCACGGCACGCTGTTTGATTGCGTTATCAAAACACGCCGCTATTATTTGGCCTTGCTTTTAACTTATTCCACCGAATACCGAATGTGTGTTTTTTTGCAATATTCGGCCGAATATATTCGGTTACCGAATATTCGGTGCATCCCTAATAAATAAATACATACACTGTAAGAAAAAATCTGTAGAATTTACGGTGAAATACTGGCAGCTGTGGTTGCCAGAAATTCACCGTAAAAATTACGGTGACAATGTAGAGGACTTTACGGTATGCTGTTTTGGCGACTGTAAATTTTGCAGAACATAACTGTTATTTGTTTACGGTAGTTTGCTGTAAAAATAACAGTTACAACATAAACCTGTTTACGATAATCTGTCAAAATTACAGTCTATCTCAGTAATAAACACGAGAGAAACTGTATGATATATTACGGTACTTTATTGCAGCTAGTTCAAATTTACGGTAAATTACTGGCAGCTGTGGTTGCCAGAATTTCACTGTAAAAAATACAGTACAACATATTAGCAATTACAGTTGGTTTTCCAAATTTACGGTAAATTACTGGCAGCTGTGGTTGCCAGAATTTCACTGTAAAAGATACAGTACAACACATGAGGAATTACAGTTGGCTGGCACAGATTTTCCAGTCAGCAACAGCCTAAAACCCTATAGTGATTGTAAACAAAATAACAAATAAAGCCCATTGTGCCAACTATCATTGACAAACCTGAAGAAACTGTTCTTGCATTAACACATTCTCTGAAAAAAAGATGGAACTGATCCAACATGTCAAGTGTACTCACAAAGCATCATGTGTCCATATGAGGGATAGTCCATGAATAAACATAAAAAAATGAGCCACTTGACCTGGGTTGATCAAGGGTAAAGAGTCACTCAGCATTCACCAGTCACCAGCTCTGATTGTAGAGTCTCATGTTGTCCATCAGGTCTTCACTGTGGACTTGGCATGATCATTTCTGCAGCCAGAAAATAGAAACAAAGCAAAAGTTAGATTGATGCAGTGTTTGAGCATCATGACTACACAGAGAAAAACTCTGCCTTCTGTTTTTTTAACTGAGCTCCAATGAGCTAACCATAGAACCAGCCATCTGGAATATAGTTCTGCAGGTCACTTCTACAACATGCTTCTGCTTGACTGATTTCGTTCTAACAAAGACTAATGTGTAGCTTGCAGTCCATTATTCATTTTATCTGGAAGTTGTTTCTGTATTACTGGATGATTTTTGTATGAAATGGGGCTTTTTCATACTCTAGTGCTGAGCTGCCCCGGTTTCCTGAACCAAAATCTTCAAGAAACACAAAAACAGCTTGCTTGTATTTGTAATCCAATATTTACTAGACATACCAGTCTTTGACTGAAAGAAATCGGTTGTGTAGAAGCAAAGACATTCCATGCCAAAATGACAGTAAAATAACTAAAAGAGGCCAAAACAGCAAAAAAGCCAAAAAATGAAAGCTAAGAAGCTAAATAAAACATGCACACACATATACATATATATATATATATGTACACACACATGCACATAAAAAAATCATTAATTTATATTTTTATTAATTTTTAGTAACATTTTTTTATGTTACTAAATGTTGGTCCTTAACCCTTGTATCACCTTTTAAAAAAAGTTACGTTCTTACTGTTAAGGGACAAAAGTGTCCTCTTCCAAAATGCCATAAAAATATCATACGTTAATATTTTTTTCCGATTTTTTTTCATAAATCTTTGAATCAACTCCAGTCCTAATCATAACTACCAAATATTCAATTATTTTCAGAATTTTAACCCTTTAAATGCTAGTGTTTATGATGGCATCGCAAATTTTTGTAAAAAAAAAAAAAAAACACAAAAATTGAAATATTTCAAATGCTAGGTGGAATTTTCTTGGGGGGATTATTACTGGTGTGTGTTTTTTTTGTGTGTATGTGTGTCTGTGTGCGTGCATCCCTGTGTGTGTGTGTGCGTGTGTGTGTGCGCGTGTGTGTGTGTGTGTGTGTGTGTGTGTGTGTGTGTGTACGTACATGTGTGTGTGTGTGAATTCAGTTCCGTTTTATGCACAGGAGCTGCAGCACAGGGATGCATACTTTCCACACTTGCAGCAGGTGTTAGAGGCCCTCTTTTGCTGGCCAGTGTACTGCACACACAGTCACCTTTTTGGGGTTCTGGAGGGCCCTGGATCCCGTACTGGCACTGGCACTGTCCTTACCTCGCTGTGGCCCTCGTGATTCAGCCACCCTGGCAGCGGAGCTTGGTTGCGCAGGGGAGGCGCTGTCGTTGCTGCATCTGCGGAGTCACCAGTGCTATTCCCAGCTCCTCCAGGAACAAGTGGCGCCTGTGCAGTTTACCCTGCATCCAGGTTGGATCCACAGCCATCCACAGCACAAAGGAACTGAAAGCAGAGACTCCAAGGTCTTGTAAAATGTCAGTGGCCACCAGCAGGTCTTTCTGTAGACAAGCAAAGAAATTCAGTAATAAAGTTTGTGCATAGTTGATGCATAGTGACACATACCTTATCCAGGTTGTCCACAACACCTCTGCTTTCAATTCCTTTGTGCTGTGGATGGCTGTGGATCCAACCTGGATGCAGGGTAAACTGCACAAGCGCCACTTGTTCCTGGAGGAGCTGGGAATAGCACTGGTGACTCCGCAGATGCAGCAACGACAGCGCCTCCCCCACGCAACCAAGCTCCGCTGCCAGGGTGGCCGAATCACGAGGGCCACAGCGAGGTAAGGACAGTGCCAGTGCCAGTACTGGATCCAGTGCCCTCCAGATCCCCAAAAAGGTGACTGTGTGTGCAGTACACTGGCCAGCAAAAGAGGGCCTCTAACACCTGCTGCAAGTGTGGAAAGTATGTTTGCAAAGCCCACACATCCCTGTGCTGCAGCTCCTGTGCATAAAACAGAACTGAACTCACGTACACACACACACACACACACAGGGATGCACGCACACAGTCACACACACACATTTTTGCTTTCTTGAACGCTGAAAATAAACACATTAAGTGGTTGTATTCATTTCTAGTGCAAAATAAGGTAATATGACTCTGCACTACAAACTGGCATCTAAAGGGTTAAGAAATTCTGAATATTTGGTGGTTATGATCAGGACTGAAGTTGATTCAAAGATTTATGAAAAAAAAAGTGGAAAAAAATATTAACATATAATATTATAATAATAATATAATGTTTTTGGAGAGAACACATTTGTCCCTCAATAGTAAGAGTGAGTTTTTTTTTAAAAAACTGACACTGCAAAAAAATTAAAATTCCATCAAAATCAGTGTTGCTACTGATCATTGACATATCCTAGCCTGTAATAATCCCCCAAAGAAAATTCCACTTTGCATTTGAAATAATGAAAATATTTCAATTTTTGTGTGTTTTTTCATTTTTTTACAAAAATCTGCGATGACATCATAAACACTAGCATTTAAAGGGTTAAAATTCAGAAAATAATTGAATATTTGGTAGTTATGATTAGGACTGAAGTTGATTCAAAGATTTATGAAAAAAAAGTGGAAAAAAATATTAACGTATGATATTTTTATGCTGTTTTGGAAGAGGACACTTATGTCCCTTAACAGGAAGAGTGTGACTATTTTTGCTACACAGTGCAGAAAAGTAGAATATAGGGTTTGTCTTTGAAATTCCAAAATAAGTATAAATAATAATAATAATAATAATAATAATAAAAATAATAATAATAATAATAATAATAATAAATATCATGGCTAAAAACATAACCACTGCAAAGATATAAAGAAAACAGAACTTGCAAAGGACACTTTTGTCCCTAGTAGGGTATAAGGGTTAATGTTGTAATCAGTAGTGGATTTCTAATGTAGCCAGAGGGTTATTCATAAATTTTAATATATTTATGTAAAATCCAATGGCAAGAAATTGGTGGCAATCTACCAGATGTTCAGTTATTGAAATGTGATCAGTGTTGTAACAAGCGTGTTGAATGTCTAATTAACTGAATTGAGGCCTCTGACTAATTATGTTGCAAGTTGACGGGGTGTTTAGTGGCTCAGTGCTGAAACACATCACTTTCTAAATGTCTACTAATTATAAAAGGATCAACAAATATTTCAAAATCAATCACACACCAACTGCTGCCAGGTTAGGGACCTCAAGTTCACCAGCCCCTGCTGCTGCTGTTATGTTTGCCCAAGCAGGACCATCACTACTTCTATACAACCAACATTAATAACTGATGCATTGTTGGAAATATTAAAAAAAGGAAACTGTGGGGTGAAAAAACTGTACTGATGTGGTAAATGCCCACAGACAACTTGTTATTAATTCCATATTCTGTTTGGCTGACAGATGCCAGAGAAGGCTCTACAGTGTGAATACCAAAAAAAATCAGTCTGTGTGAAATATTAATTTACTACCATAGCACAGGTGCTCTTTGGCACCTGGGCAAGTTTGTTTCCTAAGATGGCAGCCTGCACTTGGAGCATAGACATTTGATGAGGAGGATGGATATCCCCATTAAAATTAACATAGCAAGACAGTTGGAGCAGCAGCCATTGCATCTAAATTCTGAGTTGAATCATAGTGCACTGACACCTTGTGGCAGAGAAGTGTACAGCAGTAACTACACGGCTGGTAAAACCATATACCCTGGGAAAATCTGGGGAGGGTTAAACTGTAAACTGTAAAACTGTATTAAAAAACTGGATACCACCCAACCCTTTGAGCTGTACCACTGCTTACCTCTAACTGGGCTTTACAAGACTGGTGTCCAAGTCACTGGGTCCAGACTTGACTGAAGACAGTTAGGACAGTCTCAGACATGGTACGATGTTTAGGGAACTGGAACTTTGAACTGGTGTTGTAACTTCTGCCTGAAGAGTTGTCATCAGTGTCCACTGTGGACAGGCAAGAACCTCTCTGCAGCCAGAAAAAAAACAACTGTGAAAAAAAACATTACCACTACAACCACTGCTACTACTACTAATGACAGCAATAATAATGACAATAATATTAATAACAGCAACAATAATATAATAATAATATGTAGCAAAGTACTTCTTCCAGGCCCGGCTGACCTGTTTAAGTGCTGTCTACCATCACAGTTCTAAGGTATTGTCGTCTGTGCAGTCCTTGGACTATCCTTGATACATTAATAGTTTAGCTGTAGGCCTGAGTGAACATCCTCAAAGACTTGTTCATCTATACTGGCTCTCTCATGTACTTATTTCGATACTGAGCATTATGTCACAAAATGCTCATTTGTTATTGTGATTTTTATAGCTCTTGTATATCCAACCCACTTAAGTATCTTTTTGACTTGATCATTTTATTCAGACCATGTACATGCCCTGAATGTTTAATAAAGGTTGACTGGTGGAGCACATGGCACGTACCTGGGGCTGGGTCCTTGTGATGGTGACCTGGGTTCAAGCCAGACTTCGGGTCCTTTGCTGCATGTCATCTCCTCTCTCTTCCCTGTCTTTCCTGTCCCTCTTTCTCTGCTGTCTCTGAAAAAAATATTAAAAGAAAAACACTCTTAAAAGTTAAAAAAAAATACAAAAATAAAAGCTTGCTTATGGCATTAACATGGATTCGAATCTCACCATCACAAAGGCCAGCAAGTTGTTCGGTGACCACTCAGGAATTTGAATGCAATGCTTGAAAGGTGGTAGGAGCAAAAGACATCAAGTTTTACAATTGTTATAAAAATAATTTCTATAAGAGCAGTGTGTACAGATAATTAGGACATTTACTCTAAACACATTAAAATATTTGTTAGATATCTGTTTAGCTTACTTACCTTGAAAGAGATTCTAGATCTTAGTGATGCCAAGAGCCTTCAACCTACTGAAGTGTTACAATAGCACTGAAACAAAAGCTTAGATGTTCTTAACAGGCAGTTTTATTAACTTAACCATTCATAATTGCAGCAAATTGCTACAAAAAGCCAGTTCACATTTTTTAGCCAGTTCAACGTAAAACAAAAAAGCTTATAACATTATAAGCTTATAACATCAAAGCGTATCAAAGTATATTGTTCTGAATAAAAATGGCTAACAGTTGACCATGAACAACAAACATCACCTCCAAAAAAAGAAAAGAAAGAAAAAAGGAAAGGCAAACACTTTAACTTGCCTCTATAACCACAAAACACTTTCTCAGAGAAAAAATTAAATGACATGAAAATACTTGGAACAAACTCCTGAGCAGTGGCAATGCCAAGGCAGACTGAGGTAGGTGGGGGTGGTGCTGCATACAGAGTCGATGAACATGTATAAAAATCTGCTGACATCAGCTTGGGCTCAAAACAGAAAAAAAAATGGAAACCTAGCATTCCATACAATGACAGATACAAATGACAGCCAGTCATTTAAAACATACATAATATGAACATCCAAAATTGTGAAATTATGTACACCCATAGGATGTAAAATAAAGAAAGGCAAATGTCCCCATTACCAGTTCAGATGATCAAGTCCATCTTTAACATGTCTCTCTCCACTCGTGATCGGAGAGATCTGCGATGAGGGTGAGGACTCTTGGGTTCACTGGAAGTTGCTTCTTGTTTTTCTTTTTTTCAACTTTTGTGCCCTTCTCTGGATTGATGTTGAGGAAACACCTTTATGAACACAAGAATTTATATTCAACCACTAAATCTAAATACAGTAGTTTGTTATAGGGGAAAAAATTGTGTGTGTGTGTGTGTGTGTGTGTGTGTGTGTGTGTGTGTGCGTGTGTGCGTGTGTATTTCCCCGTACCTCTGAAGGAACTCAAATGTGGAGCCCAGTTCCACGGGATAATGTATATTAAGGCAGTAATAGCTTCCAAATGGCAGAGACGAAGGTGGGGATTTGGTCAATCACAACCTTGTGGTCTTCACTCAGCATGAACTGCTTTGCGGCATAGCAGGAGTTTCCTGCAAAGAAAATACAAGTAAAAAATACTTAACAGCACACCAGCCATTACCATCCAAAAGTGGTCTTAAAAACAAGACAGTGCATTCCATATCATATTTAGCTTTGTTTCTTACCATAAAACTCAAAATCGTCTTACCGCATACAATGATGCATGGTGTCACTGGCAGGCTTTCCACATGTACTTCTTTTGGCAGACATGTTTCTTCCACATAATGAAAGAGATTCTCTTCTTTTTCATCAAAGTAGCAAAGAAGAAGGAGCAACATGTCTTTTAGATCTTCTGAGCAGCCCTCCTTTCGTCCTCTCAAAACTTGCAGGTTTGTGACAAGCTGCAGAATTTTTTTGCTCTTGTCTGCGCAAACGGTTCTCATGAAGTTCAGAAGTCGGTCTCCCTTTTTTTCGACATTACTGAGGAAAGTTTCCTTCAGTGGTACTCCAGTTAGCTCCTCAAAGTGGACTCCCATGCCAATCTCCTGGAACAGGAAGGGCCACTCTTCCAAGAGGGTTTGCAGATCGGTCCCCTTGTTTATTTCTTTCCGTTGGGAGTAGTAAGTGCTCTTCATGAGACTTCTCACCTCGTCGGGACTGGGGTTTAACTGCTCACTAAGCATCTTCATTTCATCTTTCTTCTTTTGCTGGGTTTCTGCAGTTTCACTGACTGGAAGAAACTTCATGTCCCATTTAACGCAGCCATAAGTGTCTTGAACTGCTGCTCTTTTCTCAGCTGGGATCTCCTCCGTGTCATACTCATCTGACCCCTTTTGTCGTTTCATCATCATTGGTGTTGAGGACCGCTTTACATTCTCAATCCTGGTTTGTAACTGCTTAACCAGGGAGTGATAGCCTGGTCCCACCACATCACCTTCGATGACATCTTGCAGTGACTTCGGATACTTTGCCAACATTTTCTTGGCAACTTCTACAGAGGCTTTCTTGCAAGGAGACGGGCAGACCTTCATCATCTCAGAAACGACAATCCGAATCATTTCTCTACGCAACCGTGGTTTTGGCCTTTTCTCTCTCTCAAAACACTGAATCAGTTCTTCAGGAAAATTCTTCCATGGAATCTCAAAGCAGTCAGTCCAGTCTGGACCAGCAATCATGCTGCTGGGTGAAGGAGAGGCAGAGAATGAGGAGCACGTCGAGGAAGCTGGAGAGGATAATGGTGACTGGCTGTGGATTTCAGTGTTCTGTGCTGTAAAACAGAAATAATGACATTAACAAAATGTACTGAATGATGTTTTGTCCTTGGTTATGATAAAAAGTAAACTTTGTCAAAATGTACTCACTGGTTTGTTTCCAGGCAGCCACCAATTTCCTTGCTTGAACTGGTCTGAGTACTGACAGCAGATCACTTTCCTGGATAAAGGTAAAATCCTCAGCTGTCTCCACCCCCAGTGATTGTAGGGTCTCCTCTAAAATATCTAGAATTGAGGTTGGGAGTTCTGGCAGCACTCTGGTAATGGCACTGCGTATGCTGCTATGATGTGCATCATCCATTTCTGCGTATAAAAAAAATGCATAAAGCTCAGTTAACTCCAGAATGGCAGCCAAACACATCCTTTAGTGTGACACCACACTGTGTTTTAATGGAATCATTTGGTGTCCTTCCATTATGTATGATGGCAAAGGACAGAAATCAATTAAGTCACTGATTTTCAGACATTTCATCTTTTCTGTGTCTTTCCTAACTGAGTACACATGGTACTCAGGACGGAGTTCTGCTTTGTACACTGACACCAGAAAATGAACAGTGTCATTTTTTATCAAAATAAGCACCAGTTCACCAAACTCCATGGAGTCAATGCTCCCTGTGACAAGGAACTGTCCTTTCTTGTATGATGTTCCCTTATACATAATTTCTACCGTGACCTTTGTGTTTGTGTCAGTGAAGTCAAATTGTCTGACTGCGTGTTGAATGGCTTTGCTGTACAGTACTGAGTAAAATGGAGAACTATCCTTAACTTGCAAGACAGCTCGACCCATTGATCCTGCTGAAAGATAAGCCTGCAACATCTGATGTCTTTCAGAGAGCGTGTGGCAGAGGTTTTTAAAATTTTTCAAATTCCTCGCACATCTCTTGAAATAACTGTGCTTACTTTCAAAGCGCATTGTCCATAGCCTTATTAGAGGGCCAAATTTCAGAATTAGACCTGGGTAATGACGTAAATAATGGTGCTTTGGTTTCAGGTTACTTTCTGGGAATAGAGCCTTTCTTGACTCTAAATATTCTTGAATAAGAACATCAAGATATGCAACCTGAGGTACAGAGATGGTCTGGGCGCATATCATCTCCACAATGTCTTTTAGCTGCATGGTCAACTGCCAGACATCATCTGTTGTATCTTTCACTCTGTCACCAATTATGAGAGGCAGCAGCCTTAGAAAATTCCAGTTCTGTACAGCCTGTCCTGAGAGTTTAACTGCTTGAGGACTGACCTCACATGGCTTTGTAGAAGCATCAGAGTCACAGTATTTGAACTGTTTGATGCGCCGATTCAAAGTGGAGTAAGTGAACCATGCCTTTTTCTTGATAAAATATTTGAGATACAGTGCAACATCGTAAGACAAAATGCCCTCGAAGATGTCATGTCCTAGACAAGGTGGTAATCCTGGCTGACAGACATTAAAGTGTTTCAAAGAGTTGAATACTGACTTGAACTTTACTCCTTCCACAGCCTGAGTATCTTCAGTCTGGAGGCGATCAACAGCAGAATCGTAGTTCTCAGGTGTACGCTCTGGTCCGCACAGATTTGGATCACCACCCTGAAATTCAGATTGGGTTATCAGGCAATACCTACAGAAGTACTCTGAGCGACTAAAATTTTCAGAGAAGCCTCCAATACAATGTGAGCCCAAATTATCTCCCACAATGCAATACAAGGTTCCTCTGACAACTGTTTCATCTGATACCACTATACCATTCTCCTCTAATTCCTTCAAGTCTGCTAGTAATTCAGAGAAAACCTTAACATGCCCAAATTCTTTGAAATCTTTCTCTCTGCACAATAACACAAGAAACATATGATCTGTGTCTGACCGTACGTGAAGTGGCAGGTTAGCAACAGATACATAGACAGCTAACACCTTGTGTCTCGTCTTTGCAGAACCTAAAGGGTTTACAACTTCAAAGGCGTCCTGGTATAGTAATAGCTTAAGACATGATGATTTTGACCATAAAAATCATTTGATTTGAATATCTGTCCATCACTAATGTCACTCAGAACATCTGAGGGAGACTCAGCCGAGTGCTCCCCTGATTTCTGCCACAGATCAGACTCCAACAAACATTTCAAAGTCTCTCTCACAGGCACATAATAGGCAAACCTATCTCTTCTGTTCTCATCTTTTCCTAAAAACATTTTCTTAGGCTCCACATAGTTAAACTTTTTTTTGAAAGTTTGAGCTCTTGAGTATATAGTCCTCATTTGCCCTGTATGACATGCAGTGAACAGATCAGATTGCCTGACAGACTCACAAACTTTGGTGATGTCCTCATCTGATAATGATGTGTCATTTTTTAGCATTGCTGTAAGTTTACTCAAACTAAATGTCTGACCCAACTCGTGTATGTTCTGCATTTCCTCAACAATGACCTGAATGGTCAAAGCAGGTAGTAGAAACTGCCCCTGCAATTTCAAGTAGAATAACGAGACGTTTCTTAGAAAAAGGTCATGGAAATCTTGTGACATATCCATGTCACCTTCATCCGTGCTTGTTTCTGTACCCACCTCAGACACTTGAGGGCCAGAGTCAACTGAATCAGTTGGAGCAGATGATGACTGAGGAGCAGTATTTCTGTAAAAGTCACTGATACTGTTGTCTGCAAAATCTCTGTGTTTCCGTGACATGTGGGCAGTAAGTGTAGATTTGACCTTAAAAACATTTCTGCATCCTGTCACTGGACAATTCACAGCATGCCCTTCCATAATATGATCCTTCAGGGGGGGTTCAAAAACTCCAAAAACTTCTATCAAAAAACCGATTAGACTGTGAGAAGCGGACAAGCCTGGGCAAGGAGTACATGTGTGTTTTGTGTCCAGATGTTTTTAGAAAAATGAGTGAATGGTGGATTTAAAAAGACAGACTGAAGCAGGCTACGACTCACAAAACAGGAGATTGCATTTAAGTAAATGGAGGAGCAGAGCAGGGCAACTGGTGCAAAATCCCTCTTTATTTAAATTTGGTAGGGGCTAACCCTTTAAAATTGAACTGACAGCAGAAAAGAGGCCTGTGTCTACAAAAAGGTCCAAAAATTATGTGTCACTCGTCTCTATTGATCTTTGAGCTATAGAGGCGAGTGGCTCTAAATAATGATAATAATAATAATAATAATAATAATAATAATGCTGACCAAAGTACCTTGCAGTGAGATACAAACTATCAGAGAGACAGGAAAGCGGCTCCTGGTAGGCTGTCCAGTAAAGTGAACCCAGTGAGACAATAGCCTATGAAAGACAATCTATAGGCTAGTTTACTATTGCATAAATAAATTCATCCTTACAAGGACATTAACATAAAATAACAGTAGCCGATATTATGTCATTGTAAAATATTGGTTTTCTTTAAATCAGCAATATATGGACCATATTTTTAACATCTTGTTTCTGTAGAAATGACGGTATATACTTTGATGAATGATTAATGGTTTTATACTGTAAATTTAAATGTACACATCAGTGAAATCCATGATTTATACTGAATAATACTGTAAATTTTAGGGTTATTACCCACTTTTGACTTTACGGTATTTTCTCATTCATTTTACAATTGTTTGAAAAAATCACAGTAAAATTGTGTGTTTTTTACATATTGTACCCGTAAAAATTAGAGTTATGTACTGTTTCTTGATTTATGGAAATTCAGTGTATTTACTACGGTGATATACAATTTTGGAATTGATGGTCCTTTACTGTTGCTATTTGACAGTTTTTTACTGTATTTTTTACAGACTTTTTTTTACAGTGTAGAGCTACCTGATAATAGAGAGTTACAGTAATCCAGCCTTGAGGTAACAAAAGCGTGGACCAATTTTTCTGCATCTTTTCGGGTGAGGATAGGCCTAATTTTCGCAATATTACGCAGATGAAAAAATGCAGTCCGTGAGGTTTGTTTTAAATCAATGTGCCCTCACACACACACACACACACACACACACACAAGCTCCCTTCAGCCAGCAAGCACAGGCAGGGGTGCTCCTGGATATTGATATGTGTTATAATATGATAGAATTTTCATATGGCTGCATTATTACCTTTCAGCATAAATCAGAGTTTTAATTTAGGTGATCACAGCTATCTGCTACTACTGTGGCTTATGACACCACTTCCCAACACTCTGACCCAGCAGGAGGTCACCTCTAACCACAAACTGACACACACACTCTCTCAGTGGTGGTTTACTAAAAAGCCCATGGCCATACCTAGACAAAGCAGGAGGAAACTTTTATACACACTTGAAAAAGTGTGCAAAATAACCATATCCTGTTGTGTTCTGCACAAAATTGTTGTGCCCTCTCTCCACCTGCCTCCACCTGAAGACATGAAGGTTGATGATTTGGTGGGACCTGACTACAGACGTGGCATTGAAACCCAGCAGTATAAAACTTTTGTATTCTTGTAAACTCTTGGTCTTTTACTTATTTGATAAATGTCCCTTTGTTTACAATAACCTCTGCTTCTTCCTCACTGATCACAGTTTTGCCCTCTCTGTCAGCCCTCAACTCTCTTCTATGCACTGACTGATTTTTTGGGTGTGTTCCAAATCACATACTTTGTCTTTGAACTTTTAGTAGGTACTGCAGCTGCCCTTATGTACTATATATGTAATGCTGCATGCAGTATGCACACAATCGGGACATACTACTGTCTCATAACTTTACACTCTGATCATTGACCCTCTTGCTTTTACATCTCTTACCTTGGAGATTAAACAAACACCACTTACCAAGTTTACCACAGACAAAGATCAACCTGGAGAGCTCTGCAGTCATTACTTTGCAATGTATGTATTTTAACTGTAAAGTTAAAACTGTGCAGATTGTAGATTCAAACATATTTGTGACAGTGAAATTATATCTGCGGTTCTCTGTCATTGTTATTGTTATAGTTATGTCTTTTTGTCGTTTGTAATATTTATGATTACTTTGTTCACTTAATTATTATTCCTATTATTACTATTCATCTGGTCATCAGTTACTTGAATGCTCTGGCATCTGCCATTGCAACTTCTGACAGCAGTCAATCATCAGTCAACAAGCTGTGGGTCAGAATTGCCAAAAAAGCATTCTGGCTTGCATACTGCAAAATCAGATCAGGTGTAGTAGAACATCCTCACATTTTTGGCATACTGCATTTGACCTACTTTGTATTACATACGTACTAAATATTTTTCTGGCTTACATGAAGTTAATTTGTTAATTTAGGTTCGGGAGCAGGGCCATGCCTCAACCACACCCCTGATTTCCTGTAAAGCCTACTTATAGGGGAGATCCGGTACGATTGTAGCAGGGGGACAGTTGTAGCACGGGCCCTTATTCGTGTTACACGCGTCTCCGGAATGTGAAAGTTGGAACACGCGATCGTCTTCCGGTGACCATTTCTGGTACGAAGAATCACTTCTTTCTGACTCATTTTCCCAGAGTTATCAGCGAAATAGTCATTTTCGAATCCGTAAGTAAAATATCAACACTGAAGGTGTTTTTCCATTTTGTCAAATAGTTTATTTATACAGCACTGCTAACATATGTCATCTGTTAGACCCATCCATAGACTTGCCATGAGCAATTCATTCATTTAGCAAGCTTGCTTAGTTTTTCTGTTATGCCGCCTAAAATGCAGGGAGACAGGGGAGGGATGGTTGTAGCACAAGGCCTTAACTTGTTGATTAGTCATGTTTTTTGACATTATGCTTGCAGGAAATGCCCAGGATCAGAGTGAGGAAGACAGCCAGGGCTCTTATAGACCCAGACCTGTATGATAGAGCCTGGCAGGCTGTGTTGGAGGGCCAGTCTATTAGGGGTGCAGCCAAATACTATGGTCTGTGCAATGTTTACCTCCTCCGCTATATTAGTAGGAGAAAACAGAATGATGGCAAAGCACCTTCCCTTGGTTACAGACCACACAACAAGGTGTTCAGTGCAGAGCAGGAAGCTAGACTGATCAAATATCTTGTACAAGCTGCAGATATTTTCTTTGGAGTCAGTCCTAAAGAGGTGAGGCCATATAAGAATAAGAATCAGTTTATCGATCCCTAAAGGGAAAGTCTGTTAGGCCTATTTATTTAGATGAGCCTACATGGCTATGAACAAAATTAATAAAATAACAATAAACAAAGTTCATGGTAATAAAAAACAATACATTAGTTACAGTTCATGGTTAATATACATTCAGTAAATACAATGTTAATGCTAACTGAGTTCATGGTTTAAAAAAATGAGTTAAAAAACAATGTTACAGTTCATGATTTACATAAATACAATTAACCCTCTGCGGTCCAGAACCGCGCCGGCACGTCAAAATCACGTGACCGATTTAAGAAGACGTAGCAGCAAGACACAGCCTCACTGAGTCTCCATTTCAATTTGTGTGGAAAGTGCGAACTTCAAACTTTGTGCCACTTTTAAATTGTGTTGATAGGCCATATAAAACCAGACTTATGATAAATCATAAACACCATGATTTTCTTGAATATTTTTGTCATGTTTGGTGCAGGAAGTAATGGTAAAAACAGACTTTTCGGCCT